GGTTTTGTTTGTTTATTAACTAGTGTTAAATTGTTTTTAATTATTTTATTAAATTTTTGTTTAATTATATTTTTTTAAAATTAATTTGATAATATTTTTTTTAACTTTATTTTCAATTAATTGTTTATAATGTTTTAGTTTTAAATATAAAATAATTTTTAAATGCGTTTATGACCTTCAATTTTAATTCTTTATTTGAATATTTCAATATCTTTTATGCTGATTTCTGTTTTTATTGTATTTTGGTTTTATAATTATTTTAAACTAAAAATTTGGTTCTATTTAATTTTGATTTAATTGTGTGTATAATTTATTTTGTTTTTTTTTTTTAAGAAATTTTTTGGAAACCATTTAACTTCGTTTATTTCAAAATAATATGTGATAAAATGAAATTAATCGAAAATTTTCCATAAATTGAAAATTAATTGAAAATCATATATTAAATGAAAATCAACCGAAAATTATCTATAAAACCAAAATTTTTTGGAAAAGTTTCTATAAAAAGAAAATTTATGGAAAATTTTAATAAAAATAAAATTTGTCGAACATTGTTTAAAAAAAGGAAATTTGTAAGAAATTTTTCCATAAAAAGAGATTTTATCAGAAATATTTCTGTAGAAAGAAAATTTATCTGAAATTTTCTATGAAAAGGAAATTTATTTATTCTTTAAAAAGAACATTTATTTATTTTCTTTAGAACGAAAATTTATGCAACATTTTCTATAAACAGAAAATTTATCCAAATTTTCTATAAAAATTAAATTTATCGGAAAATTTTCTAGAAAAAAAATATTAGAATAATTTTCTATAAGAAAAAAAGTTTACCGGAAAAATTTCTATGAAATAAAATTTATCAGAAAATTTTCTATAAAAAATTATAAGCAAAAATTCTATAAGAAAAAAGTTTATCGGAAAATATTCTATAAAAGAAAATTTATCAGAAAATTTTTTATAAAAAAATTATCAGAAAATTTTCTATAAGAAAAAAAGTTTATCGGAAAATTTTCTATAAAAAAAAAACTATCAGAAATTTGTTATTGTAAAAAGAAACGGAAAATTTATTATAAGAAGAAAAATTATCGTATAATTTTCTATAAAAAGAAATTTTATCCGAAAATTTTCTATAAAAGAAAATTTATCAGAAAATTTTCTATAAACATAAAATTTATTGGAAAATTTCGTGTGAAAATAAAATTATATAAAATCCTATAAAAAGGAAATTTATCGGAAAATTTTCTATAAAAACAAAAATATATCGCAAAATTTTCTACAAAAAGAAATTTACCAAAAAATTCTCTATAAAAGAAAATTTTCTATAAAAGAAAATTTATCGGAAAATTTTCTATAAAAAGAAAATTTATCAGAAAATTTTTTATAAAAAGAAAAATTATTTATTATAAAAAGAAAATTTATCAGAAAATTTTTTATAAGAAGAAAAATGATGGGAAAAGTTTCTATAAAAAGAAAAATTATCGGAAAATGTTCTATAAAAAGATATAATATCGGAAAATTTTCTTTAAAAGGAAAATTTTTCTGAAAATTTCACATAAAAAGAAATCTTATCGGAAAATTTCCTATAAAAAGAAAATTTATCCAAAATTTTTCTTTAAAAAGAACATTTATCGAGAAATTTTCTGTAAAAAAGAAAATTTATCGCAAAATTTTCTACAAAAAAAAAAAAAAAAAAAATTATCAGAAAATTTTCTATAAAAAAATTTATCGGAAAAACTTCTAAAAAATAGAACTTATCACAAATTTTTCTATAAGAGAAAAATTATCGGAAAATTTTCAATAAAAAGAAAATTTATCGGAAAATTTTCAATAAAAAGAAAATTTATCTAAAATTTTCTATAGAATGAAAATAAGAAAAGAAAATTTATCGGAAAAATCTCCATAAAAGAAAGAAAATTTATCTGAAAATTTGCTATAGAAAGAAAATTTATCGGAAAATTTCCATAAAAAGAAAATTTGTCGCAAAATTTTCTATGAGAAGAAAATTTATCGGAAAAAAATTCCTTAAAAAGAAAATTTATCGAAAAAATATCTAAAAAATATAAAATTTATCGGAAATTTTTTATAAATTAGAAAAAATATCAAACATTTTCTAAAAATTAAAAAAATTATCGAAAATCTTCTATAAATTAGAAAATTTCTCGAAAATTTTCTATAAATTAGAAAATTTATAAAAAAAGATTCTATAAATTAGAAAATTAGCAAAATTTTATAAGTAGAAAATTTATGAAAAATTTTTTACATGGAAAATTTATCGAAAAATTTTCTATAAACAGTGCATAAAACTGATGACCAAGAGATGGATATTTTACTAAACAATAGTGTAATCTTATAATGCCATCCTGGTCTATGCCCAAGATTCATTGAATATAGAAAACCTCTTTCGGTATTTGGGAATTTTTCGGTTAATGGTAATTTTTTTGTCATTATATCTTCTAGAAAGTTGACCGAATGCAAACCTTTTTTCCTCTGATTTACGAGAAGGTTGATCATTATAGAAGAATACATGTATGTATGTTAACCAAGACTAGAGTAATTTTCGTAAATTTCATTAGATTTTTCTATAAAATAAAGTCTTTATTATGACTAGAGTAAGTCTCATGAGATATCAAGGTTGACTTTATAGACCTCTCGCCTTTGTGACAAGAAATTATGAAAATTCGGTTAGTTGCCTTAAAGGAGCGATTACCTTAAAGAAGTGTGTCCCTAGTTGGATTCTTTAAGTAAACTTCGCTTATATCAATTTCACTAAACAAATGTGTTAAAAGATCAGAACTCTATAAGCAAAGTTCAAGATTAATTATCGATAACTATCTTTACTAGATATGTTTTTGTTTAAAAATGACTATTAAGTTTATTAAAAAAATTCATTGTAGCTATTAAAATTTCGTTAAATATTTACTGAAATAATTGAAATTATGATTTGTAACAAAAAAATTATATTAAAAATTAAAACAATAGCAACAAAATTTATTGAAGTATAGTGATTTTTGTTATGAATTAATGCAGATTATTTTGTTTTGTCTTAGTCAAAAATATTGCTTGTTCTTTTTCTTGAGGGTTATTTTTTTTTTAATTATTTTTATAATTAACTTAGATTTTTACTAAGTTTTATTTAATATTAAATTAGTTTTAATTTAGTTATATACAATTTGTTTTATTAGTTTTAATATTGTAGTAGTAATTTTTTAAATTTTTTTCAATGGATGTGTTTTTTTTGTTAATAATTTTTTGTTGATTTGTTTTTTGTTTAATTGAAACTTTTTGATGGGAGATTTTTTCTTGTTGTAGTTTTTATGTGATTATTTTATATTTATATATATTTATATAATTTATTAACCTTTTTTTTGCATTCAAATATATATTATTTTTTCATTTCTAAAATATATATGTATGTTTTTATGCTATTTTTTTTGTTATATTGAGTGGTGAATGTTTTAGGGGTTTTAGCATAATGCGGATTGTTGGTGGATAGTGGGGGAGGTGTGGCGTGTGAGGAAAACTTAATTATTGAAATAATTTTATGAAAAATAAAGTTGTTAGTTTCTCATTCATTTGCTTTAAAAACATATATTTATAATAGGTTTTATAGTTTTCGTTTTTTTATTAAATCTTAAGCTGACAAAAAATATACAAAAATTAGTTAAAATTTGTATAAATTTATGTCTTTATTTTTTTGGTTTCATAAAAAATGGCCGTATTATCTGATATGTTTATGGTATACAATGATGATTTTCATTTAAGTTTAAATAGCTAAAGATTTGTTCAATATTAAATATATATAGAGAGAAATAATTTAATTAAATTATCTGTTAGGGGAAAATATACATTTAGTTAGAGATTGTTCTACGGGTGCAAAGCTCCAGAAATAAATTTAATTGAAAATTTCACATCTACAAGGTACACTTGCTTAATAAAATATATAATTGAATTCTTTATGTTTGGTTTTTTTGTTTAGCATTATATAATTTTTATGCTTTTTTTTTAATTAAACAAAATTTGAAAGTTAATATTTTAAATTTCTTAAAAATGTTTCTCTCAATTTTGCTTAAAAGCATAAAAATTAACTAAATATTTAATTGATTGGTAGGTTATTACAAAATTTTTTTTTAATAAATATATATATTTTTAAATATTATATACAATTACAACAATTAAATAAATTTTATTTTACAAGAAAACTATAAATGTATAAGTTGTTTTTGTTAAAAGCTATAAAAAATTGCCCAAAATTGTTATAAATACAGTGCAAATTGTTTAAAACTAGAATTTTTGGAATAAAAAATACATAATTTTTTTTTAATTATATTTAATTTATTTTATATATAAAGTTGATTATGTATATATTTTATATGTATATAATATAATAGTATTTATATGTTTATCTATAGATTTATAGATCCTTAATAGCAATAGTTTTAATATCACTTTTGGTAATTTTTACTAGGCGAGTCATATGACTCTGATATGTATCGTTACCTTGGTTGTGTCTTATGTTAAATTTTTAACGAACAAAATATTAAACTGTTTCGGTTAGAGTTGCTAGTTTAGAAAAACAAATTACTAAACTTTTTAAAGGTTAATTTTATTCAAATACTTAGATAAAAAGCTTTTGATATTCAAACGTATTTTTTTTAATATTAAAAAGCATTTAAAACCAAAATGCTTTTTTAAGATTTTAAAATCAAAATGCTTTTTTAAGCTTTTAAAATCAAAAAGCTTTTTTGTAAACTTTAAAAATCAAGAAGCATTCATTATTGAAATTTTTATATAATCTTTCGAAATTTTTGAACTTTTAAAAACACTTTTATAAATCAACACAAAGCTTTCCAAAGCCAATTAATCTAAAGTATAATTTGTTGAAAAGCTTTCAAAACTTAAACTTATTTAAAGGTTAATTTTATTTCATTAGATAAAATGCTGTTGATTTTCAAAAGTATTAAAATCTTTTAAATTGCAATTATTTATCTAAAAACTACCAATATGGGTGTATATATAAATAGCTTTTTTAATATTAAAAAGCTTTTAAAATCAAAATGCTTTTCTAAGCTTTTAAAATCAAAAAGCTTTTTTGTAAACTTTAAAAAAACAAAAAGCTTTCATTATTAACTACCGAAATTGTGCAGTTTTTATATAAGCTTTCGAAATTATTGAACTTTTAAAAACACCTTTATAATCTCTTGTAAAGCGGAGACTTTTATAAATCAACACAAAGCTTTCTAAAACCAAATAATTTAAATAAAATTTGTTGCAAAGCTTTCAAAAGTTTTTTTTTTATAAATTTTAATAGAATTTTGTAACGATTTATGATTTAAAGCTTTTCAAAAAAAAAAGAATGAAACTTTTGAGTCTAGAGAAAGCTTCACAATTAAATTGTATATAATATAAGTTTCTCCAAATCTAAAAATAAATTATGTCCAAAAAGGTTTTTAATAAGTAGTGAATGGTTTGTAAAGCTTTTCTTAATAAACTTTATTTTAAATATCTAATTTGATTAATATCTTAAACACAGCTTTTCAAATAAAATAAAATTATTTCTCATTTAGAGCTTTTAACTTTTATTTGTGATTTTGATGTTAAAAGCTTTTCAATCGTTTAGAAAACATCTTTACATGGATTTAAAAACGTGTTTCCCTATTTTAAATAGCTTTGTAGTAACTTAGCTTAAAGCTTTAAAAATAAAAGTAAATTATTTCTCATTAAAAGCTATAAATGTTTAATTGGCATTTAAGTGATAAAAGCTTTTTCAATCGTATAAAAAACATCTTTACTTGGATTTAAAAACTTGTTTTCCTGTTTTGAAAAGCTTTCTAGTAACTTAGCCTCTAAAAACTTTTAGTAGCTAGAAACAAAAGTTTACATTTTCTCTCCATAAAGTGGTCGGTGATATAGTCAAAAGCTCAACTTATACCACGCTAATATTGCTTTAGAAAAGCACACAACAGCTAAAAAATCATGTAAATAATGCCGTTAGAAAAATCCTTATGGGTATATCAAAACCGATCTGAGAGTTTTAAAGCAGTTTTCAATGCTGGTTTCCGTAACTTATTCAGCTAAACCTGCAACTCTTCTCCCATGCAGTCAACTTAAAAATATAATTGTAATTTCAACTCAAAATTTTCTATTCTAAAATTTGTCTTTTTACAATCTTTATTCGTTTATATCTGCATCATCTTGATTAGATATTTGTAAAAACTTCAACATCCGAATGTTGTAAAATTTGTGTTTGTGCTTTATTTGATATGTTTACGATATGGATGTTGAAGTTTTTATTTTGAGATAAATTCCTAAAGATTCGATTGATCATCGTTTTAGCTTAATCGTTAATACTTACAAACTATAACTGATATGTTATGATATATTTTGGTCTTATAATTCTAATATTCTTTGGTTATTTAGCTTGTCTTCATTTTTTGTTATGATTTCATTATAAATTGGAGATTCTGTTACTGATTCCATTTTGAAAATATACACAATTTGTTAATAATAATTATAAAATAATTATAATATAAAAAATTATAACTTTTTTGTAGTTTTTTTTTAACATATAATAGTTAATATGGCTAGAATTTTATTCACGGGCAGATATAATTATCAGAAGAATCTTTAAGGGGGTGTCAAAAAGCTTTAATGTTTAATTATGTCTGAAACTTTTTAGAACTTGCTGATCTCATTATGTAATACTAGTTATAGCTGATATAAACTTTTGAAATTTTGAAAGCTCTTGAGATCATATGAGCTTTTAATAACTATGTATAAATAATGCTTAATAATATATGGTAAAATCCGCCCTTTAAGAAGTCTCTGATAATTGAACCGTAACTAATTATATTTTAAATTATATAAAAAAAAAACTTTAAAATATTCTAATTTGTTTAATTAGTTTGTTTTTTCTAGGATAATCTATGAATATAAGTTTTCCTAATCATTATATATGTTTATACTTAAAATAATGTGTGCCACATAAGCTTTCCATTGATATACATTAATGATATTTAATGTTTTTCTACTCCTTCATTTGCATCTAATTTTTGCATTTAAGTATTTACGTTCGGTTTATAAATGATTATGATGTGATATTTAGTTTTCCTATATATTTAATATTAATTTATACTTAATATGATAAAATACATTACTTTTTTAATTAATTAATTTGTATATTATATAAAAAACAAAATTCCGTGTATAATACAGATATATAATTTTTTTTATAAAAAGTGTGTGTGTGTGTTAAATAGAATTTTTCTTTGAAAAAATTTCATAAATTTCTTGCTTAACTACACATGAGAAATTTTTTTATAGTTTTTGTTTTTGGAATATATTTTTTATATATATATAATTTCAAGATAACTAGGGTTATAGTGTAATAGAACCACTTTAATTTTTTTTAATTTACTACAGAAACTAAAGGAAATAAATTAGATACTTATTCTCAAAAATAAATTGTTAAACATCAAAAGTAGTAAACTTAACGAAACTTATAGACTAAACGATCAAAAATATAAAAACAAACATAAATTACCACTAATTTTGTATAAGACAACAGTTTAAAATCCTTGTCTAAATGGATTTGCTGGACCAGCAGGACCTGTTGCAGATGATCTGGCGGCATCCGATTGCTGTTGTTGCTGTTGAAAGGGATTCGCTATACGCTGCTGAGGAAGATGTCGTGTTTCTGAGGGCTGCTGTTGATACATGCCACCACCGCCTTGCTCCTGGTAGCCCGGTTGATATTGCTGATGCTGCTGTTCGTATTGGGCATCCTGTTGATAGCCCTGCTGCGCTTGATAATCATAAGAGCTGGAGGTTTGATCGTCTAGATTTGTTTCTTGCTGATCCTGTTGATATTGCTGGCCGTATTCGAGGTGATTTTTGAATTCGCCATCGATAGGCTTTTGATCGTGCATAACGTAGGTTTGATATTCCTTATTGGGGGGATCTTGCATAAGGATATTGGCCTCGTTTTCAAATGGCTTAAAGTCGTAGATATTGCGCAATTTCCTTAGTAGCGGAACATACAGAAGGTTTGAAAACGCTATAAGGAAATTGAGAGCAGTAAAGCCAATGGCTTCTACTACTCCACCCGCTATAATGGGTCCCACTGCATAGGCTATTGAATAGGAGATATCAGCGATGGCGTATATACTGCCGTACACGGATACATAACGCACGTCCACCAAGTACCCGAGTGTAGGCAAGAGGGCAGTATCTATCAAGGCAATGCCGAAACATATAATGCATATAGGAATCATTAACATTTGGTAGGAGGTCGAGAATGGTATAATGAAACAGGAGAGACCTTCCAACGCTAAACCTCCAGCTGCCATTAGCCACTGATGCTGGGGATACTTTTTAGCCATTTTGACCGTAATCACCACACCCAAGACGTGAGGGAAGAAAGCCGGTAGCCATACCATACCAATTTTCCAATTATCTGTGGTCAGATTGTCTTCCATCCACAGGGATATAGTTGGTTCTAGAAAAGCTAAAGCCACATTTGACATAGTTAAGGCGCCGGCGCACACAGCTATATAAGGATCCATAAGCAAACGCCAAATGGGTATAATCTCTTGTTTGACTTCTCTACTTTGCTGCAGTTGCTCCTTGAATGGTTTCATAACTAACAGCAGCATAAGACCATCGATGAGGCACACCAAGGCCAATATCAAAAATGGCACTTCTTTGCCCGCAAATTGATAAAGAGCACCGCCGAAAGGCGGAGCTACTAGACAACCGAAACTGATAAAGGCCAAGGCAATGCCCAAAGCTTGAGAACGTTCATTTTCCTCCGTAAAACGATCGGCTATCATGGCCAAACCCGAAGTATCGGCGAATGCTGAACCAGCACCTTGCAAAGATCGGGCAAAGAAAAGCACACTATAGCTACTACCACAGGCAAATACCGCCGTGGAAAAGAACATAATTGTTAGGCCAATCATCATGGGTATATCGTAGCCGATCTTATCGATCAGACCGCCCGAAAATGGATTCACCATTAATTGAACAATGGCTTTTGAGGCAAACAATATACCGGTAGCCGAATCTTGACCATGATGGTCATGATGAACAGGTATTATCTTACCCGTCACATTATCTCTAAGCAGAGGTGCCATAGTGGCATCGGGTGCTTCGAAACCTCCAATTTCTCGCAAATAGTCGGGTATAATTGGCACTATCACCATATACAACATGTTGTCCAACAGTAGGGCTATAGAAACTATAACCAAGACTAAACGTCTTTGGTTGACAGGCTCCTGAATTTTCTCCCATACTATATCCTTAACCTCACGTACCTCTAAATTGATAACGGGTATGGTAAACGACGACATGTTGATATCCTTTTCTTTTTATTTCTTTAAAAGTTAAAATTAGAAAAAAAAAGAATTTACGTAGAGGGGAGGGGGAAATTAAATTTTGTATCTTGTTAAACTTAACGGCTAAATCGTTTGTTTTATAAGTTTTCTTGTTGAATTACGTTTCTTTTGTACTTTGTTGTCGTCTGAACTGTTTGTAGTTCTTCTTTTTCTCTTCTTGCCGCTCTGCTTGCTAGGACTATATTTTTAACTGTAACTGTACTATCCTTTTCTTAAGTTTTCTAATTTATCCTCAAGATGATTCATGTTTGTTGTATAACTCGTTTGTTGGTTTGTTTTTTTTTAACTTTTATTTAGGTTTCAGGCACATTTTGTGTTGAGAGTTTTGGTTTTGTTGTTGTTGTTGTTCTGCTGTTTAGCTCTTGGCTGGTGTAAATCAGTTTTCATTTAATACAGGCCACAACCTTTAACGACACAGAAACAATATTTCATTATTATTTTTTTTTTTGCATAATTAAAATTTTATTTTTTTTTAATTTAAAATTTCTGTTGCTAATTCTTTATTTGTTACATTTTTAATTTTTTTAAGCATATTTTATAGTTTTTTATGAAGTATTTATTTTTTTGTTTAAATTTAAGTTAAATTTTATTTATGATTGAAATGTTGTTTCTGTGCAGCGAAAGGTGTAGTAGCTTTTCTTTAATTATTTAATTTATAGTTAATTATTTTTAAAAATTTATATTATTTTTAATTTTTTTTTTAATTGTTCATATTAAAGTTTTTCTTCATATTATTTAAATTGCATTTTGAATTTATTTATTGATTTTCCAACAAATGTTTTATGATTTTAAAGTTTATTTTTTTGTTGATTTTGTTTATTTTTAGATTTTAAAACTCATTTTGATATCTACATTCCACTGTTTAACAGACATTTCAATCATAAAACAAATTATAGTTTTATAAGTTTTTAAGAAAATTTGTTTTATTATTAATTTTTTTATTTATTAATTTTTTTTTAAATAGTTTTACTTTAATTCTTAATGTAAATTTAAATAACAGCGACCTGTCTTAGGACACCTTTTATTTAACGAATTTCTTTATTTCTTGAGGATTGATATAATTATTCAAATTTCAAACTAAAAAGCTCCCAAAAGCAGACTTTAGTTTCTGTAGGTCTTGTTCGAAATGAACTATAGGGGGCAACCCTATAGTAGATATACTCTAGTCAGATCAGAATCAGCTTCAGAGTCGTTTTAACGATGTAACCTTAAAATACATCATTTGACCTTTGAAACAGAGGTCGGTTTTCAAATATTTTTTTTTAAATTTTTCTGAGTTGAATGTTAAAAATTCAAATTCGTTTAAGAATCTTTTCAAAATCGGCCCAGATAAAAAATTAAAAAATTTATTTCTTGCAAGTTTTTTTTCCGAGTAGTATGAAAACTTTTGCCAGCAACTGTAAACATTGTTCTCCTTAACTTTAAATTTATTTCATATTCTACTCTTAGTACTTTGCTTTATTAACTTCGTCCTGAAAATAAAACTTAAAGTTGCTTTAAGTTTAAAGAAAGTTGTATGTTTGCCTAGGTTTATAAACCTGGGTGCGTTTCTATAAAATAATATTTACTTTTCAAAAACACGCAAATACATACATATTTCCTTTTTTTTTTGTATAACGAGGGCGTTATTCTGTTTCTTTTATTCCCTTTACTTTGTTTTCTATACAAATCCTTTAAATATGATACACTTTGATGTTGAAAACAGATATAGATTGTTTAGGTTAAAGTTGAACAGATATAAAAGAATATAACGAACGAAAAACATAGATTCATATTCGTATGTATGTATATAAAGTTAGTGGGAATTATTGCAGATGTTTTAAAGGTAAAAAAATATCGTTTAAACTAAAAAGGAATATATACTATTATTACTGTATCTAAAGGTATTCATTTCCTTTCAATTGAAAACTGATAACTAATTAGTGTAAATAGTGCATAGAATTTTGATCTTTTTTTAAAATTAATAAAAAACCTTTTTCAAAAGTAGAATTAAATGCATTTATTTAACAGATATCAGAAAGCTAAATTTCGATAATACCATATCAAGGGACTATGCCACAAGTTCTACAATTCCAAAACTGAAACGGAAATAACAAAAAATATAAAAGAGAAACGTGCGATTAACAAAACTTGGAGCGAAATTCCCAACAATGATATATTTTACATTTTAGCATTTCTCGGCTCTGGGAAATACATTGGACGCTATTAGGGGGCTTTGTCTGGAGGTTACATCGAAAACAAGCCCAATCATTACAAAATTCGGCAGCAACATCAAGGATAGTAAAAAACTTAGTTGTGCTGCTTTTTGTCGAGATACAAGTGTATATATTAAATTAAATTATGAGCTCAAAAACCCTATTCCGCCGGTTCAGTTATATGGAGGCTATGCGAAATAATGGTTCAATTTAAACCATTTTCAATAGATCCCCCCACTGATACAATTATGTAGAAAATTTCATTGAATTATCTTCACAATGGCGATCTGTAGTTTGATCATAAGATTTACATGGACGGACAGACTAGAAAACGAAGTGCTTTACTTTCACGGTGGTACTTTTACAACCTCACAGAGTGAGCTTATTGAACGACTCAATACCGCTCCTTTGTGCTTATTTCACACCGGTGGCAATTTTTGAACATGATCTGCCGATCCATGTACTAGCACTATGCTCAAGTACTCGAACTATCTAGTCTCTGACCATTGCTGCCTCGTTGCTTAACTTCCTAGATGCAAAAACATCACTTCCGTTTACAACCACACAGATGATATGGCCTCTGTTGATTCGGCAACAGCACTTAAAGACGTAATCGTCAGACCGAAATAGGAATCTATCAAATCAACCTAGGACTTGTTCTTACTCACAGAGTACATACTACGGTAAATCTGGTTTGAACAGAGTAAACCCTGAATATACCTGGATAAGGAAGGAAAATTCAATGATATCACTTGTATAATATATATTACATACATCACTATTCAACTCAGCACCCTTCTCATTCATACGACACACTCACCCTAGGTATATAGATGGTTTAGGCCCTCATACACACATATCCCTCTCGAATCATATACACTTGATACCAACACATTTCTGTTGTGTCGACAACAGCACCGAACATCAACATTTAATTTTCTTTTTAATAACACAGGTCAACGATGAAAAAACTTTTTAAATAATTTTCACTAATTCCAGTGTTATCTAATGTGCGGAATTATGGAAATAAAAAAGTCTTATCACCTACCAATTTTCCACATTTTCATCTTTGAGTTAATTGAGTCCCAAATATAAAATTCTGTAATTTCACAGATGTTGTGAATTGTGGCCGTCTTTGTCTCTAGACTTCTACTTAGAGTTATAGAAATGCATTCTGGAAAAATTTTGCACTATATGACCACGTTAACTGGTGACACCAAGGCTCTGAAGGGGAAAAAGATTTTTACAAAAATTTTGGCAATAAATTATTCTTAATTTTAGCAGCAAATAATTGGAATATATATTTAATTATCGTTTCAATAAGATATAAAATACAAAAATCGATCAAAAATTGTAAAAGTTATTACAAATCCATCTGATCATTTAGTGTCAAAAAACACTGAAATGAGAAATATTTAAACAAATTAACAAATTTTGGGAAACATTCTAATGAAATCATGTCATTACGTTAAATATTGTCGTATTAACTTAAATGTGAGTTTTTATCTTCATTAGATAGCGTAAAACAGTTTCAAACTTTTAGAATTTTGTTAAACAAATTTTAAAATTTTAAGAATCCCTCCATATGACTTATGGACAATAAAGAAAGAAATTAAATAATACAGAAATCAGGTCGATACCTCTCACAGATTAGCGGTACCTGCGATTTGAATTTTAGGGATTTCGAAGAAAACTATTTTTTGGTAATATTTTTGAAAATGAACCTTAATTGCTTACCGTTATGTATTTTATATAAAAGATTTTCAGAATATAAAGTTCCAGATAATAGGAAACATACAACTGAAGTTTTATAATGTTAACCCATTAACTGTGAAGGTCAAACTCAAGCTATGCAATATTGGGAAATCGGCTTAAAACCATAGTAGTGTTTTCAAGAGATTTAAATGAATCTTAGGAAAAATATATAATTAGATAGATCTGCATTTAAATTAAAATTTAAATCAACCCATAAACGTAAATATATTTTTATAAATATATCCATTATATATAAACTAAATATTCAATACCACATACCGAGAAAATTGTGGGTGATAGAGAAAACCAGATATTAGTTTTAGTTTCATCAACTAAAATATATTAAAATCAGTCGAATTGGTTTCAAAAGTTTTTACGGAAAAAAGTCTGCAGAAAATTTGCCATAGAACTATTATTAGACAATTCTACATATAACAATTTGTCTAAAGAAATTTCTTTTATAACAATTGGTCTATAGAAATTTCTTGACATAAAAATTAATTCACAGTATAACAATTCCACAACAGCTTTAATATTTACATTATTGTTCCCCCCCCCCCCAATTATTCCCCAAAATTCATGAAATTTTGAATATTTAAACGTTTAGTATTAATTATTATATTTTTCTCTAATGAATTTTTGAGCACGTTTTTCTACTTGACTTTTATGCGTATATGAGTGAGTGAGTGTAAGTGTGAAAGCTTTGCATGTGTATTTTAACTAAAAATATAGATTTTTTTTATAAAATTCTAAAGACCAGGTTACAGTAAAACAACCCTGTATAAAATAATTATAAAAAACGAACTTAAACAAAAAGCTGAAAAATTTTCATTCCAAAAAACTACCTTACAACCTCAAATTCTAAATCAAACCAAAAAGGTAACCCAAAAATATATTATTTTTTCATTCAACCATCTATTCATTTAGTCACTAAAGGAAGAAAATACAACGAAAAAGAGGAAAATATATTCATACAAAATAATAATTGACTCAAGTATTGTTGCATGTTGTTGTTGCTTCTGTTGGGGTCGAGTGGTAGTAACACATTCATAACACAATATTTTACTACCCCCAAAATATGTATAAAAGGACGTTTTTGTATTTTTTTGTTTTCTTTGAATGATTTTTTTTTTCATTATTACAACGTCTACTTGTTCTACTACCTTTCATAGATGTTGAAGTAGCACTCAGTCAACATGGTCATGAAAATTTAATGACACAATATTGTTGTATACAATACACGGTGCAAACAAAAACATACATACACACCGAAAAAATTATACTAAATTTAAGCTTAACGAGAAGTGTTTCTTAAACGGTTTTTATTAAGGGCAAGTGTTTTTTTGTGAAAAATTTTTATCTGTTTGAAAGTTTTAAAATAAATGATGTCAGTTTAAAAAGTTGTTTTTTTTAATACTTTTCCAATTTAAAGATGAATAAGTATTAAAAAGTTT